GATGGATTGCCAGTTTTTGCAATGTTCTCGCAATATCACGTTCAGCAGCGAGAGTAAAAAATAAAGTACACAAAGGAGGTGCGATTTGTGGGGAGTTATGGGAAAATAGCCGAAGCTTCCGGAGAGAGATAAAACAAACGACAACAAAAAGTAGAAGAAGAGGGAGATAGCGTAACAAAAAGAGAATTAAAAGATAAACTGGCTTTATCTTCTTTTGTCAGAAAGAGAAAATATATAAAAACAAATGGATAAAAAATATAAAAAAATTAGTCAAAATTAAGAAAATGCAGAAAAAGAAAGCTAGAAATAAAAACGGGGACGAGAATGAGTAAAAGAAAGGAATGAAAATGTGTCAAAGAAAGAAAGAATGAATAATGAAAAAAAAACAGCAGAAGGAAAAGAAAAGTTTTTGGTTGATTCATTTTACAACATATGAAACCCTGATGGATTATTGATTATCGAAATCAGTCGCGTTTTTCACTATATTTGAGCCAGTAAGAATTTATTTGGTTTTGTGAATTGGTAAATAGTGGTCGTTTATATTTCAGTTAGTATGCATTTACATGGTTTATGGATGAGTAAATAGCTTTCCAGAACCTTACGCCGAATTTTTGTTGTTCATGTTCCAACACGTTAGATCATGTCAAATTTATTAGCAGATATAATATGCTTACATTTCCGATTAGATCACACTTCAAAATATCTCTTGAGAAAGAAAGTTTAAAATTACTTAATTTGTGTTAATTTTGCCTCCCTATGAAAATGGAATATTATAAGGTGCATTTTAGCCACTGGGTTTTTTACCTTAAAGCAAAATAGCCTCATCATCAACAAGAAAGATACGTGCTATGTATGTTGAAGTTGTTTTAACTGACAGAACTGTACGGAAGTGTTTCGCTAAGTTTAGAGTTGATAATTGTAGCCTTATTGATGAAGAATGCTCAGGCAGACACCCCCACTAGAGATGATGACCAAATCAAGACATTGATTGATAATAGCCCACATTACACAACGAAGGAAATGGCAGAAATGTATCAAAATCTACCATCCATGCCATTTAGTGAAACTTGGGTAGTCAAAGAAATGAACGAATTTTCGTAGTTCCACGATAAGTAAATATAGGTCTTTCATATTAAGATCTATAGATGTTTACTAGGTAGATGACCCCTTTTGGAGACGTTTCCATTTTTGCAATGTATGCAGTAAGCATATTATTGCCCTCACTGATAGGGCACGAAAGAAAAGGGATAAGCGAAATGAAAAAAATATTTAAGTTAGAATGGCACGAAACCCTCAACTATCGAGAATCTTGAGGGTATCTAACAACTTGAGCAAGAGTGCGGTACCTCCGAATTGCACTACAGTAGTTGCCTTAAGTATTTGTTCACACTCGTCAGTCACAAAATTATATGAGGTGCGTAAGCTGTAGAATATAAACTCACTTTCCTGGCCATAGAAGACTATCAAATATTGTTGAAATTGCAGAGCGTCCTGAACTCTTTTAAAATGATCTCAGAACTGACTCCCGGAACACACGATTGATTTCTAGGTACTCCATCATTCATAAAACACGTTGCAAACTTCAGTAAATTCCCTGTAGGCACCCCAGCAAGCGCGAATCAGTTATGAAGAGCTCTGGGACATTTCTAGATAGTTATAGCCATGTAAGGACCTTCAGCATATCGCTGACGCCTTACTACATCGTGGAGCCGCTGTTATTTAAGCGAACGGAAAATTATAAGTTTAGCTGTGAGAAGATGTTTGATCACGCCATATAAAAACCACGCCCACCTACATACACACCCGCATATACACACAAGCAGATGCACACACAAACACAGGTACATCCACACACAAACACCCTCACACATATATATATCTATGGTAAAAATATAGTTTTAATATGTGCGATATTTATAGTGATCAATATTAGGGATAGAGCGTATGTAAATATAAAAGTGGACACTGAGCTCAACAGGGCGACAGTCTGTTTCATGCCTGAACGAAATTTTGTGGCCATATATATCGAATCTCACCATGGTCGATTTGTCAGGCAGTAGACTTGCTGATGGTATCGGTCTGGAGTGGGAACGTGCCTGAAAACCATTATACGGGTTGACCTAAGACTTTTGAGTGAAATTGGATAGACGGAACACTTGGGGTTGTCGATAGCTGTGATAGCACGAAGTCACAAGTCATCGTGACCGAGGATTTCAGTGTGCTGGTATTGTTCAGAATCTTGATCATTCTAGATAACACGCTCTTTCCCAGAAACTGTAACTAATGTCTGCTCAGGATAGCTGCAGTATAACATGCTGGTTCTGAGGGTGTTGAACAAACGAAAATGTGCCTGAGCGAGAGTCAGCAACAGGGATTGGCTAGCCGCTCTAGTTAACAGGTATCCTCGAATACAAGTGGCAAGCTATTATATATATATATATATATATATATATATATATATATATATATATATATATATATATATATATTAGTAGATAAC